GGATTCTTGACCAGCTTAATCTCTATCTTTAACTTAATCTTGATTATCATTATATTATATAGATTATGTTATACATTTGTTTAACATGTCATGTTTCTGCTTTAGATCATCGATTTTAAACGTGATATCATTTTAACTTAAAAAGATATGAAATAATGTAGAATTTTTGCAAAAGTATTGCAGACAAAAATTTAATTATAAATTTGTGACATCGCGCAAATTCTCAATATTATAAAATTTTTAACTCCACTCATTTTTATCTACGTTGTTGTAATATTACATTTTTCAAAGGATCTTTTTGCACAAGTCCCAGATGTTATTTTCTTCAAAGGATTAAACTGCTTGACGTCTCGATAATAGACACCTTGATAATCGCGCAAACTTCTTCGTCAATTTGTATTATATATTTTCTTCATTTTCTTATTTTGTATTATACAATAATTCACTTTTATAAGCCTATGTACCGTTTTACTTTAGCGAACACTTAAAACTTGATTTAAGTCTTTCAAAAAAAGTTATCACAACCCCCTTCACATTCGAAAATGTATGATATGAATGCGGTTTGTAAATTCTAGTTCCAAGACTATTCCGCCTTCCTTCTTCTTTTTTTCACAAATTTTTCATATCTAACACGAGCACCTCGGCACTGCAGGTTCTACATTCTGCAAATGTCTTGTATACGGAAATTATTCAGCGTATATGATCGGTAATATTATTAGTTACAAAACGGTAATATTATTAAGTTACAAAAAGTGGTTTCCCTCATTCATAACCGCTACCAGTATTATAAAATATTAAGAAGATAGCGGAGTGTCCTATTGACCCAAAGATAATAATCTGTCGTAACAGCGTACTTCGATCTTCCGTTACAGAGTCCTTCTCGTTTATAAAGAAAACGCCATGATATCGATAACATTAAATAAGACGCAGCTGTACCAGACCAGTGTGATTAAAACCAGTATTAACAAAATATTATTGTATAAAGTTCACGTGTATTATTTCGTTCTCTTATTATATCTTGCCATTATTTAATATAATTTAATGTATATAATTTTGAAAGAAGAAAAGATGATGTTTATATATATCCAATGTATTACAATTTTCGATTTTTTTCGTCTCTGTTTTTTGCGATTCATATAAATTGAATCTATTTAAATTACACGTCCGCCGTTTAAAACAATGACTCTGCTATCAGTCTAAATAATTTCCATTAGCGGCTATCGCAGTTGTTTATTTAGATCAGGTCAAAGTTACTCATACCGATAAAATTACGAAACAATTACTTCGGAGCGTCTGACAAAGAGATGTAATATGTAAATAGTATACAGGACGTATATGGTTTTCTTTCGTCGCCACTTAAGAAAATTAACGTTAAACATTTAAATACATGTAGAAATCGAGAACCTCTTTCCCATTCTGCAACCGCTGATGAGATCAGAGGCATGCAGATACAACTGGTGAACCTGAGACAGCAAAGCAAAAGCAATTGTTACGCGACGTTATTCAATCGTCTCTAAACGAACAGAAACGACAGTGTGCGGCAGGTCAGGATTACCCAATGGCAGTTACAACGTGACTTTCTCCGCACGAAACACACCTGTGCACCAGTGGCACTAGCCTCTGAACTTCTACCTATCGGCGATACCTTTTTTTTAATCAGCTAATGTACGCGAAGGAAAATCCGCGGGCAGGATCGAACGGTTTTAGAAAGTAGCAGCAAATCTATACTCGCGACCGATGTCGTTTCGTGTCGCAAAACTACGGTCCAGACTGGTACCGAGCTTTCTTGTGGAGATTTATGGTTCTCCTTATTTCGCCGGAAATCGATTTATGTGGAAATTTATGAAGAGATTTGCGATATCAATGCAAGAATTTCACGAAATAGTCTTATTGTTAGAAAGATTCCATTTCTGATGAATTAAGTAGATGAATTCGAGATTTTACAACTGAAAATTTTCTCTTTATTTAAATTGGTTTCTTTAAACAACTTATTTAAAATAATTAATACTTTAACTATTATCAGATTATCGAGAAATTACCAACAATCAATCTTCTAATCATTTGCGAGTGATTTCGGATATTCTATAAAAAGTTCATCTGGTCTCATACAATACATGTATAATGCTTAATTGCTCTATAACAATGGTATCTGTTTTATAATATTTTTACGTTCTTTAACATCTGAAGATGACTCAGAACTAGAAGCCGAAACATGTAATGAATATTGTTTTAAGTTTACATTTAATTACAGTGTATTTTATTATATATTTTAATTTATTTATATAATATTTTTGTGAATTTTATAATTGATTCTTACATGCTTGATGCTCTTTCTATTATTTGTATTATTTAACGTCAAGAGTTGACGTCCTTGTATTTACTTAATTATTAAAAATACATTAAAATATTAAAAATCTCAGGCTAGACATAACTATTTGTTTTCGCAAGAAATTTTTTTCAATCTGCAATCGGTTGACGTACGATGATTAAATTACCCAAGTTACCATATCTTTCTATGCGCAAAATGAATTAAAAACCATCTCGGATCTTCAAGGTGAGAAGACGAACGTGCGTGAAAATCTGACGAAGATGATTCATTCTCCTTCGATCGTGTCATGTAATCCCTTATGAGGGCACCATCGTCCCGTGAAAAAAGGCTTTGTGTTTGAACAAAAGATGTGGAATTCTCCTCGATCGAAGGGCTTTTGATTAAAAACCATCCAGCCATACTCTTTCATTAACTAACAAGGGGGGGAGGAACTCACTCACTCACACTCTCTCTCTCTCTCTCTCTCTCTCTCTCTCTCTTGCTCAGTTTTGATATTTCGATAACAAAGCTAGCGGAAAAAATATTTCTATCTATTATTATTATTTGAATTCAATTGTGTATATAATTTCGCAATGATTAACTGTAGAGCAATTTTGTTATAATCGCTTCCATTTTATCATTGATACGTAGATAGGAATATGAAACCAGCCGGAACACTATTGAATTACTAATGGAATACGATGTTATGAATAGCAACGAGTTTCAACGAAAATCGATTAAGGATCGGTTACGCCACGACATTGATCGGCTAAACTTGTTTAATTAAAACCAATAAATTGAAAATCTGTTATATATAAATCTGAAATAATTATTTCTTTACGTAATATTTATTTTTTCTATGGGCATGGATTGAAATCTCTATCTCATAACTTGTTATTGTATTATTTATTAATATATTGCTGCATTTTTTTGATAGATTGAAAATGATGTATTTCAAAATTAGCAACTTTTCTGTAAAGCATTTTTTAAAATTCTTAATTGGAAGTATTTTAATTAATTAATTTACATAAAACTCTACTTTTCTTTTCATGTTATACATGTATAGTTTCAATTATAATACATTCGTTAAAACTACGTTATGAGTTTTCAAAATTCGAACATTGCAATCCTTTGATGTAAATTTAAAAAATTGATATTTTCCCATATAAGCAAACGAGTTGCAAATGTATATCGTTTTTTCATCAAAATATATTTGTCTTTAAAGTCAAATTTCTTTCATTATTTTTAAAATACTAATGTTTTGCTTGTATCACTTTTCCATTACATAGTAATATATATACATGTATATTACACAGAAGAAGCATAAGATTAAAAACATATAGAAAATAAGTAATAAGAAAAGAAGACAGAGATGTGTACAAACTCTGAGCAAGGATTGAAGTCAGTAAGCATTACAGTTTGATAAACGATCTGCTTCTATAAAACGCATTCAACGATAATGTTGTTAAGCTTTCAGCACGCCAAACACGTAATATTGAACAATGTAGGTCAAGTCTGACGACACTTTTCTACATGATTTCAATGACAATCATCCTAAATGTTACCCTCGCACGAATCCTCCGATGCTTCAATCGCTTACCCAAGGGACTAAAATTGATATTTCAATTTCGCACGGGTCACAAATAAATTTAGACTGATATTCTGGAGTTCTTTAGAAATATCTAAAGAAAAATAACAACGAATTCTATGAGATCTTCGAATATAAATAATCCTTTAATCCTATGTCTTTATATTTTCGTCTATCCTTTATTTTCATTTAACTTCTTTATTCGATCTCTTCATCAAAAATTTCGTAATATCCGACATCAAAGATAATTTTGATGTCTTAATTGTAAAAATAAAAAGTTTCGTTTTATTAGCTTACTTTGGTGAAATCTTGTTTCCGTAAAACTACATCGTAAGAAGCCAAGCCATGACTCTTTATGGCATAAATGACGAGTTTTTCCGCATGTTCCAACTAAGGGGAGCGTTGAATAAGCAAATAGCGCGATTATCGGGCGCACTCAAGGTAATTTGAAAGAACAATAAATTTTTCTAACAATAAAGAGTGGAAGAGACGAAAAAACCTTACGGTGTATTTTTCGCGTTACGCGTTCAACGAACCACGACGAGAGATTCAATCTTGCGCACAGCAATTCGTCCAGCAATTCACTTTGCATTTCTTGCGGTATATATCTACACGCAATGCGTTGTAAATGCAAAACACTAATTGGACGGATCAGAACATTTCTTATATCTGAATAAAACGTGCTTTCTACAGTTTTTATACAATAAATGATTGATCGATTGCAAATCGATAGGAATTCGTATGCAGGAAGCGCCTACGTTTCGACTCCGTTAAACCTTTGAATACCGCTTCTAATTATGAAATATAAATTTTTATACATCCTTTGTTTCACGAGCTCGTGAAAATGCCCCAGGGATCTAACAGTATACACGACTCAACAACCGTAACGCATTTATTATTGTTAATTATTGTCTTCTTTTTTCTGATTTTTAATTTAAAGAATAATCTATCTTTATAGCTTTTAAAGAAGAAGAGAATTTTTTTCTTCTTACTTATAAATCCTTGATTACAATTTAATATTATTAACTTGGTCTTAAGCCTTGATTTTCTAGCAATGTATTAGATGGAATAATGATTAACGGTTTATCGTACTTTCGCTTTCAGATGTGGCACTTGACGTGCGTCGACGACTTTTTAAACCGCGCGTTTTACAAGGTTGGCCTCTGTGTCGGTCGACATCCCGGCTACTTCATAATCGTGCCGATACTGTTGGCGTGCATATGCTTTACCGGTTACCAGAGGATACACTACGAAATCGACCCGGAATACCTCTTCTCGCCCGTCAACGGACCCGGCAAGACCGAGCGAGCGATAGTCGAGCAGTACTTCAAAGTCAATTACAGCCACCAATTCAATCTTGGTCGTATCACACGACCAGGTGAGAGTCTCGTCAATCATTTATTCTGCCGTTCTCGCGATTTCTTTGCCCGCAAGGAATTCCGTGAATCCAACAAGCCTATAATCCCTTCAATTGAGAGTTGGCATAAATAGAGATAACGTATTTCTTGTGCCTCTATAAGATTCTCCAGAAAAATTATACGATACCTTTAATATTCGTTTTTCATTTCTTTTAAAATAATTGAAACAATGTTATACTCTAAATCTCTCTCTAAAATCTCACCCTAAGGCAATAAAAGTACAACTACTTTTGAATAAAAGTGAGAATATATCAGTTCTTGAAAAAAAGAATAACAATTTTCATTTTTTTTAACTGCGTTTACTTTCCAAAGAAGTAAAATTTCACTTTTTTCAAATGAGATTTTACTCCTTTGAAGTAAAAATTCACTCTAAAAAAAGTGAAAATTGTCACTTTTTTCAAGAATGGTTGTATGTATTTTCACTTTCTTGGAGTGAGGTTTCACTGCAAGAAATTTAGAGTGTAACTTTCAACGTTAAGAAAATCTCTTAAGAGTTTATTTTTTTTTTAATAATATTTATTTTAGATGAACTTTCTCTAACTTTCTTAGTTTACATAAAAAAAAAATTTTTATAATTGAATTTCCCAGCAATTTTTTATCTTCAAAGGCCGCGTTTATGGGAAAGTAATAGAGAATCGTGGTTTACTATCACCGGAAAAATAACCTTCCTAGTTAGTGATCGATTGAATCCGTTGATTGTTGCAGGCCGATTCGGTCATGTAATCGTAATTCCCAAGGATGGCGGGCATAATATGCTGAAGAGCGCGATTTGGCAGGAGTTGAGGGAGCTCGACTGGTTAATCAGGAATGTCACAGCAAAATACGAGGACGAAGAATTTATCTATGATCAAATTTGTGCACGATGGCTCGACCAGTGTTTCACCAACGACATCCTGAATCTTCATCACATAATAAAGTACGCGAGATGAATGAAAGAAAAGAAATTAACGATTCCGCAACGTAAAGAAGTGGAACGCGTTTCAAAATCGCATTCGTCAATTCGCGTCGAGTTTCAAATTGAGCCTTAAACTTTTTCAGGGATGTAGAGAGGCGAGAGCTAAATCTGACGTTTCCGGTGATGTTCAATCCGGTCACCTGGGACGCTCATCTGTTTCCGGTATTCTTCGGCGGAAGCGTCGTCAATAATGATTTCATCATAGAATCGGCGCCCTCGGTGCAGCTCGCCTACTTCATCACCGCCGACAGTCCACGGCAGGATGCAATGTAAGTCCACCGATCACGTTTGCAAACACGTCGAAACCCGCTGATGGAATTGGTCCAGTTATTTCAATTAAACACAACAGCAACCACAAACGTGTAACGTTGACCGTTGTTTACCGATACGGGAATGTTCGAAATTTCATCAAAGATGTACGCTTTATGCGCGTATACGAATATTGTAGAACCCGCGGATTTTATTTGTCGCGATCAAAAATAATATCTCGACAGTAATTTTCTATAAATTTCAATATCTTGATATGATTATTGCGAAAAGCTAAAATCTCATTAAAATAAAACTAAGGTACAACCAAATGAAAATTTAAAAATTTATAATCTAATACATAATGCATTTTTACATCGGAAAAGTACCAAATTTTAATATTTGGTTGAATAGTTCTAAGTAAATATTTATAAAATATAAATATATATTAATTTAAATATAAAAATCATTAGTTTGATTTAACTATCATATTTTTATTGAATAAAAGATTAAGTAAAAAATTGAATTTACTGTAAGTAAATGTTTACTTAATAATATTCCAAGAAATATGTATTAAGATTTAGTAAACTTTTTCAGTGTATAAAAATTGCTATTCAAAATTTTTAACGTTCATAATAATAAACTATGCTCGTGTGTAAGTGGTATCTCATTAATTCACCACATGGTCGCCAGTCGGACATCACCAATTGAATCATCTATTGCTATCAACGGCGTCCGTGCAAATAATAAGTGTCTGATTCACCCGTGACCATATTATATTGATTGCCTATTGTTATCGTTAAAGATGGTAAAGCACATGTATATTGATGTAGCCATTGTTTCGGGTATATTTTAACTGCGAAAATCGAGTCAAATTAATTATTTCATAAACTACTTATAGAAAGTTAAATTTTAGAAAAGAGAAACGAAATCAAGAGATTTTTCGGCTAAATTCTTCATGATATCTAATGTTTTACGACAGAGTCTTCAAGACTCTTCGGGGTATCTATAATTAATCTCTTTTTCAATTTGTCAAATTAGCGGTGCTGCTTGGGAAGAGGCTTTTTTGGATGTCGTCGGCAAGGCCGAGGATGAAGGTGCATTTAAGCATATTAGTATCGCGAGATTCGCCTCGAGGACCCTCGAGCTGGAGCTCGAGGCCAACACGAAGACGATCGTGCCGTATTTCACCAGCACGTTCATCATAATGGCCCTGTTCTCAGTCGTGACGTGCATGATGACCGATTGGGTGCGCAGCAAACCTTGGCTCGGTCTTCTGGGCAACATCTCTGCCGCCATGGCAACAGTTGCCGCTTTTGGATTGTGCATTTACCTGGGGATCGACTTCATCGGCCTCAATCTTGCCGCACCATTCCTCATGATAGGTGAGCTGTGATTGGTACTATTGCAATATTTTTTTGAAAGAAAAAAAAAACGAGCTTATCTTTTAGTATGAAATAATTAATGTAAAAAAGTCTTTCCACATGTCTAACAGGACACTTTTGAAACATCGTAATTTCTATTTTTTTTTTTAATTTGCTGATATATTCTACAGATAAAAATATGACACGTGTTCCATATTTTAATATAGTTGCAATATATATTATAAATTTGACTCAGTCTTTTAATTCATTATTAATTAATAATATTTTTAATCATTTATAGAAGAAATTTTGATTATAGTGTTTTATTTGATCTCAAAAAATGAAAATTTTCCGAATTTGTTATATTTTTTAAAATTAAGTTTAGAACGCTATATATGTAATTCTTTCGTCGTGGTAATTGTTACTTCGTAAACTTTTATTATCTCAGAAATTTGTTACGGTCAATATTTAAATTGATACCTAGTCTATAAGTTGAGCAACGAAAATAACGTCCTAAGCTTCGCTGCATTTTTGCACCTAAGCATTTTTGCAATACTATGCCGTAACTCTTGTCGCGTCTGTAGAAACACGTGTTCTTGATAAACATGTTAGCTCGCACCGTCTGGTGCATACGAGCGAAATAAACGAACTATGATTTATGTGAAAAGCGGAAGTCGTCTTTTCCCTTTCGACGTCTCGCTTGCCTGCGTATGACGCCGAGCGAAGTTAGTCTTTAGCAATAATAATAGCTTTATTCGATCCAATCGACCGACCGCAATTCTCAAAACGACCATTCTCTTAAATTTCATCCAAAAATAAGTGACAGTTCTTCATATCCATATATTGTCTTTAATATTCTTAAGAAAATTAAATCAAGTAAAAGGTAGAGAGAGAGAGAGAGAGAGTGTATGTGTGTGTGTGTGTGTATTATAAGTTACAAAATATTTATAATTTTATTATAAAAAGTTTTAAATAGATAAAATAGAATTAAATTAAATATCCGAAGGAAGAAGCGTCATATATGATAACGTCTTTATTAGTCACAGATATTTACGTATCGGTTTAATGAAGCTTTCAATACAAATGAGAAATGCATTGTCTCACGGTTTTGATTTATCGCAAAGAACAGGTTTCCTATTATTATTTATGATACTCTCTGAGAAATTAGACGTGACTTGTGAAGACAGACGTGACATCCAACGGAAGAAACAATGGTGATAAATTTTCAAGGAATAATTAACTGTATTTAGAAAATGCATCGAATACTTTAAACAATATTACTTTTCTTGGAAAAGCACTCACAATTAATCAGACTATGGTATGCAAAAAAACAGTTCGAAGTCTTTCGGAATTACGTATTGAATAATATGAAAGAAATTCGTAAAAAATTCGTGTGATAGAAAAATTCGTACAACTTAAAAAATGCGCAATTAAAAAACTAAAAAAATTGCTTTTTGAAGATATACATTAATAAGTTTAAAATTCAACCCTTGAAAAGGAATATGAAATTCATATAAGAAGCTGTATTATAGAAAAATTTGTAAGAGAGACTTAAAATAAAATAATAAAGAAAGAAACTCTAAAGATAAAAATTATTATTATATATACTACATTAATAAATTGAAATTTTAGTAACTTTGGATTTTTCTTTTGCATAACTCACATACGTTTTACAAAAATTTGTAATTGTTGATTGAGTGTAAATCGTGCCTTTTAATTACAGGAATAGGGATCGACGATACTTTTGTCATGCTAGCAGCCTGGAGAAGGACAAGTATCTCCAAACCAGTGCCTGAAAGGATGGCATCGACATTGAGCGAGGCTGCCGTTTCTATTACTATCACATCCTTGACGGATATGATATCTTTCTTCATTGGGATCTTGTCGCCCTTCCCTTCGGTTCAAATTTTTTGCATTTATTCAGGTACCGGGATGTCGAAATGAATCAAGTTGTATTTAAGCGAATTATTTAAAATCTGGTATTACAATTTATTAAATAGATAAATTATACGAGCGTAAAGACTGTAAAAAGAAATAATATAGTATTTAGAAAGTCTACTACAACTTTCTGATATATATATTTGATATCGTTCGATATTTGAGTTCGTATTTTTGATTATTAATATTAAGTATGTATTAACTGACAGGTTTCGCAGTGGTGTTTACTTTCCTGTTTCACATAACATTCTTCAGCGGGTGTGTGGCGATCAGTGGTTATTGCGAACAAAGAAATTTGCACAGTGTTATCTGTTGCAAAGTGCAGCCGCTCTCTAAATCCAGTAAGTATTGCAATTGTTTTATTTATAAGAATATAATGTTATCTATTTCACGTCATCGTATTTAGATCTGCTTACAAAACCGTTATTACATATAATAACGTATGTATATATACGTTACGATGGTAATTCTCGACGATTATTATAATTTCTAATTTTAATTACCCGCAAATGCTAATTTCTTGTAAATTTACAGTTACGTTGTTGTTTTCTCTCACTGCGAATCGTTGTTATTCACTACTGTTCGAAATCTTGTTACGTCTGCGTGACGTATCGATGTTACATCAACGGACAGACGTGCGTTACGTTCGGAAACCGTTAATTCGTTAGATCATACGGTATTACGTAAAGGAAAAAGTTTGCTTTCTCTGTATTCTTTTTTCCAAACATTGTCATACCAACGACTGTAAACTGCCGAAAAAGAAACCGTCGATACTTCGATCTTATGTGCGAATTATAATACTATAAGCCTTAGAATTAGACGCATAACGAAGAACTACGACAAACGATACTTTCTTTAACAGAATTACCATTTTATATGACATATGACATTTCAGCTCATCGATCGTGGCTGTACAGAGCGTTGTGTTCCGGCGGGATTGATCCTGACAATCCTGACAATCCGATTGATAATCCTGAACACGGATGCATGACTTGGTTCCGCGATTATTTGGCAGCTGCACTAAATTATAGCCCTGTGAAAGCGATCATCATCCTCATTTTTGTGTGCTATCTTATTGGTGCACTTTACGGACTCACGAATCTTAAGGAAGGCCTCGATCGACGCAAACTTTCCAAGGAAGATTCCTATTCGATCGCCTTTTACGACCGCGAGGATTATTATTTTAGAGAATTTCCTTACAGGATACAGGTAGATATCCACAAATTTCGTTTTAAAAGTTACGAAACTTGCAAGGCAATTGAAATAAAAATTTTTCGCTTGTCACTTACGTACACAATTTTTTTTCAAAATTTTTCAACATATTGTATGTCGTTATCGAATTTTATCTGCTTGAATATTTGAAAAATATACCAAATAGCAACAAAAAAAGTTGTGAAAAAATTAAATACTGTAATGTGGCACATAAAAAAGTCCAAGTTTCTAATTTGGCACCTTGATTGTTGATCAACAGCATTTTTGGCATCACTTTATTGACTGTGCAAAATAATCGCGTTTCTACATCGCGATAGTTCTTTTTGTTTCTCGAAGCTTTGGTCAATATTTAGAGATTTCCGGTTTTTATACATGCGAACTCGCGAAGGATATTTCCTCATAAGCGCAGAAAGAAACACGTTCGGAAGAACGGAGTGCGTTACGCTTGAAACTGCCACGCATAATCCGGTACGCGCAATTATGTCACGTGCTCTCCGACACGACGCGATATCGTGCAAACAACTTTCTCCGGCTGGCTAGTGTGAACCTCAAGAAAAGCAATGTCCGTTACATCACGAACCGATCAACGAGAAAGACTAACTAAATCAGAGAGACCCCCCGTATAAATCCGCCACTTACTTATACCTTAATCAAATGACGCCAAATATAATTTCACGCTGACTCGCACACACATCCAAGAATCCCTTTCTCTATTTTATTTTCTGACATTTCAATATATTCTATATGATAAAATTTCTAATAAAGTGATTACGAGAAACCGGAAGATATTTTACTGATGCGATTACTAAATAACTTGGAGATTTTATTATTCACGTTTAGAATCATGTTAAATGTATTTTTAGCGTTCTTTTTAAATACAAAATATTATTTTATATATATATATTAATGTAGTTTTTATTATTTACTGCTTTATATCTTCACAAATATGAATTAAATGTTATCAATCTAGGTATTTAAATTTACTCTAAAGTAACGATCCATAATTTAGCACCAAATTTCAAGAAATAATTTTATTTTGCATGTTTTATATATATTATTATAGTTTAAGTTTTTGCTTTCATTTTATATGATAAAGTAAAGTTATAAATAAAATGCTATCCTAAGTTCTAACATGAATCGCGTTTTTTGACTTAAATTCACGTATCTTTAAAAACGCGATATATAGTAAAAAAAAAAATACATTCCGGAAGATACATCAGTTTGTCACGAAACGGTTTCCTGTAGCCTCTGTGATTGTTTCAACTAGATAAGTGAATATTTCGTAATTTCCTCCACCTTCGAAGGGCGATTTCAATGCGTTTGAAGCGCGCTTCTTTGTACGACGTTGAGATCTCTTTCTCCGATGAAATAAAATTGTGAATGTAGCGAAAGAGATATGATCGTAGACTAAGAATTTCACTGAGACCTTTTCTCCCCCGTCGCGTTAGTTCGATACATTGTAGTGAAAGTACGTTTCTCGAAGATGGTTTCGCGCTATCGCGTTTCCTCACGATATTAATAACGTCCCGACATCATGAGCCGTCAAGTTCCGATGACTGCGCGGAAACGTCATTCGCCGAGAAACTACTGTCACGATGAACTCTTAATAATGACGTACAGCGTAATTGGATCCGCTCGCGAAACGTTTCATGTCGAAATGTACGTATGTCAACGTGCTAAGATCGGACGAAATTGCATAATCGTGACAAAACGTGACATTGCGGCTTTGCGTGGTCCGAGAGGAAGCAGGACTATACACTTTCTCGAAATTACTTTCACGGGCATACCGCGGGAATTCCTAAAAAGGTCTGACCAACGTATAATATATTCTTCGCGATTTTACCGTTTACTTTTGCCACTTTCATGAATCGCAGAATGGAAAAGGTGACAAAAAAATGATAAATAATTATAAGTATTGAGCGCACGTAAAAAAAAGTTATTCAGTTTTTCTTGCGGAAGATTTGTTCGCAATTTTCAGTTTGATATGAAAAAAATTACTGCTAAAAATACATTTTAAAAATACATTTTCGTCATTTTTCTAGGTCGTCATATCTGGTGAATACGACTACAGTAATCCAGTGATTCAGCAGCAAATAGAGAACTTGACGAGCAGTCTCGAAGCGAGTAAGTACATCAGTGCTCCTGTCTACACCGAGAGCTGGCTCCGTAGCTTCATCAGCTATGTAACGCGCAATCAGGAGTATCTGAACGCGACCATCACAGACGAGCACGACTTCATCAAGAATCTCAAGGAGCTCTGGCTCTTTCCTAACAGCGCCTTCTCTCTGGACGTTAAGTTCGACGACACGAACGAGAAAATCGTCGCGAGCCGGTTCCTGATACAGGCGGTGAATGTAAGCGGCACCAATCAAGAGAAGGACATGGTGAAGGAGCTGCGTGGCATATGTGCGGCATCGCCGCTCAACGCGAGCGTGTTTCATCCGTACTTTGTGTTCTTCGACCAATTCGAGCTGGTAAGACCGACCAGCATTCAGTGCATGATATTCGGCGCGCTCGTGATGATGCTCATCAGCTTCATCTTCATCCCGAACATCTTCTGCTGCCTGTGGGTTGCCTTCTGTATCGTATCGATCGAGCTAGGAGTTGCCGGTTACATGGCTCTGTGGGACGTCAATCTTGACAGCATCTCTATGATCAATCTGATCATGTGCATTGGCTTCAGCGTCGACTTCACTGCACACATCTGTTATGCCTACATGAGATCGAAGCAGCCTCGGGCGGAGGATCGAGTCAAAGAAAGCTTGTATAGCCTGGGTCTGCCGATCGTTCAGGGAGCCGCTTCGACGATACTCGGTCTGATGGCCCTCCTATTGGCCGGTACCTACATCTTTCTGGTATTCTTCAAGATGGTCTTCCTCGTGATCTTTATTGGCGCCATGCACGGTATGTTCCTGCTGCCGGTGTTGCTGTCCCTCTTCGGGCCTGGCATCTGTATTGGCGGTGGAAACGAGCCCGATGAAGCAGAAAATACGAAGAATAGCACGCAGGAGAAAGAATTGCAGGCGAGCAAGCTGCAACTGCAACAACAGCAGCAGAAGCAACAGTCGCCCTACGTGATCCCGCTTCCTCATCTAGTCTATTATGGTCCGGGCGACATCAAACCACTCCAAGATAGTCCCGTGATGAGTATGGCGGTGTTCGAGGAGAGGGATCCCGGTTTGGGCACCAGCGAAGACAGCAACTCGACCGAGAGCGGTTCTTCGCAGAGTAGGCGGCGCCAGTGCAAGTCTTCTCAGGAACAGCCTCAGGAGCAACAGGACCAACAATCGAATCAAATCCGCCACGATATGTGGAGGAGATCCATCGGCGTCTTATACGGACTGTCGCAGTTCCAGTCCGCGATCGACGAACCCCAGCATCCAGCGCCGGACTATCCCGGCGCCGAAGCGCAACCACGAGATTCGGGCGAGGACAATGGTCCGCGAACAGCCAACGTTTCTTGCTTAGGACCTTACGTTGCGTATCGCCACTCGAATCAGTTACCGTGCGATTACAGACGCAGTAGATCCCACCACAATCTGCAGTATCCTGCATCAACGCGGCATTTTACGGATCCCCGGTATCCTTAGAGGGAATTGCGAGGAAATAGTGTGAAAGATAGATATTGTCGACATGGGAGATTCCTCAAATTCAGTCCCTTGGAGCAAGACTAATAGTTTTGAGAAGAAAGAACTGTAATATTATCTCGAGAAAAGATCGACATCGAATCCGCAGACAATCGTAACATCCAAAAATAGTGCGTCCATTTTCCCTATATATTCTACTTTTAATTCCCATTTCGGAACCTCAAATAAAACCATATTGCCAGAGAAAGAGAAACAGATAGGGAGAGAATCAATTTTAGGAAATATCAAATCTGAAATACGTAAACTCGAATACGTAAAATATCTCGTATATAATTGATTAATTCCTCCCAATAATATTTTTCTATTCTTATTCGACGAATGGCCAGTACATGTAAATGTTTGCTAAGCATTACGAGCAATTAATATTAAGAGATATTTTATTTTGGATTTGAAATCTGGGCGAGAGATAACTATAATTATAACGATGTTCGATTACATGATAGTTCTGTGAGGCCATGCAAAGAAAAGAAAAACAAATAGAAAATTTGTGCGACATTTTGTGCAAATACTTAGATATTTAGTTTCAAAGGGCTGAATTTCAAGAGGATTTTACTCTCAAACAGCGGAAGTAAAGAATGCCCGAATACACTCGGATTCGTGTAATAATTTTTCCTACACTTTTCTCAAATGAAATTTTAATTAATTTAGATTTTATTGTGCATCTAAATTTTTTCTTCTTAAATCATATAGAAAAAAGTAAATAAATAATGATGATTAATTAATATGTGACTATATTGAGAATGAAGATGGAGTAAAAAATGAAGAAAGTTCTCAAGGTACAAATAAAAATGATATTAACTATACACTTTTTTACGCTGCCAAGAATATTAATTTTATATACGAAGCTGAAAAGGGTCTAGGTGCCGCTGAATAAGAATTAATAATGTGATTTTGAAGACTTTTTGTACAGTAGTGCTTTTTTACTACGAAATAGTGGTGAAAAAACGAAGTTGTTGAAGTTGTGTGTCACTACGTTCATACATACGGAGTATACTTTTATACAACACCGAAGCTTGAACATTACTTGAGGAACAAGCTATCGTACATGCTCCAAAAATCAGTTGCAATTATATACATTTAACGACACTACATTCTTTTTATAAGACATAAGAAGAATGCCGATAGTCCATTATAACGAGAAGAAAGCAGATCAATTTTTAAATCTCCCAAAGATTTGTCGATTATTGAATTTCTGCTTCTTCGGAGGACTGTAGTGTTTGTTATCGTACGTTTGGCCATTTAATCCTGTTTTTAATCTGACGTGGCAATTTAAATATAAAAGAAGATTATATACGATTGCGTACGTCTGATCATTCTACATGTATGACAAGAATACGGGCCTAGCATTAGGTGTTAAATTTTAAGTCACACTTGAATCCCGGATTCTTAGATCCTGGGATCCTTGCAATAATCTGCCGATTCGTTTTCTCCCTCCGCTGTCATAGATTCTACAATTTTACGTTGGCGTATCGCGCTCTTCGCAGCCAAAGGGTTAGCTCTCGTAGCACTCGTGTTGTGCAATGTCCTATACGCAAAGGGCAAAACACTGATGCGAGAGGATAATGCCGGGACAACGTTGCCGGCATCAGATTTAAGTTAGTTGTTAAGAATAGCTCAAATCGAAAGCGATAATATTTTATATATATACATGTTTATATATATATATATATGTAATATATATGCTCAATATCAATCAAAACTAAAATGTCTTGCGATATACCAGACATACCGATCGGTGCATAATAGAGAAAAAAGCAAAAAAAACATGACTACAAACTAATCTTATAATAAATTATTATCTAATTAATATCATGTAATAAATAAAACACGAAATTTTAAAGTGCATTTAAATACAGTGCAATTATTGTTCAAAAATATCAACAGATCTGAAAATTGACTTACCATAAAAATTCATTCATTTATTCATAAATTTTAAATAAATTCATTCATTTAGACGTATCGAACATTAATTTGCACCTAAAAGTACACATTTAATATAAAGTGCTTTATTTTTTGTTAAATATTAATTGGACAATAATATATTGAAGTATTAGTTTTATTTATCTTTTTCTTTATATATCTTTACATAGCGATGTATCAATTGTTCAGTAAGCGTGCCTTAAACAATTGACAGATGTAGCACATTGTCGTATAATAAGTGATTCAATTTGGCAAGTAATTTGAGTAGATTAAAAGAAAGTTAATTATAAGGCAAAAAGTGTTCTATTCTACCTTCAAAGCAAGTATACTCCAAAGTTTAATTTAGAAAGTTGTTCCGTATTTGTTTGTAAAATATTTGATAAAGAGATCGATTGATTGATATCAATATTTCATTTTAAGATTTTTTACTTTTAATTCTTAACATAAATTTATAGAAATAATTATTGAAAAATCACTCTCAATCATTTTCTATTGGAGTACCTTGCGTATTATGATTGAAACTGTGATCTACAAAGGAATAGTTAGGTGAAAATAGTTAAGCAAGACAGGACGCACGCTTCGCGATTCGAATAATACATTCGTATACGCGAATAAACAGCTTAATCGCTGTAAGAATTTGTTGCATTTCCGTTTCTTCTAAATTTTGCAAAATAAGCGGTAAACACGAATTCTCGTTTTTGCACAACGCTGTATCTATTTTTGCGTGAATTTGTCAGTGCAACTATCGTGGCAATCAATGCGTAATAATAAAAAATGACCATAAACTTCCTGCTGCAAGAAACTTTCCCCTATTTATTAATGTTTTTTCACACGCTTTTGAACGCGTATGTATTTTATTGACTTTAATCTTTTCTGATCATACCAAAAATTGCGAAATATCTGCATATGATAATAGAGGGATTAAAAATTCTCAAATTTATTTTTACTTTCTAATAGTTAATATATTTTATTTACAGCCAATATATCTAAAAATACTCGACGAGTAAGTTATAATTAAACACAAAATAGGATATGATTCCCGGAGATTGCTTGAATTTTAATTAACAAGAAATAAATTTAACGTTTGTAAAGTCAATCTTCACCTACCAAATCTGAGAGAAGTTTAGAAAATTTTCCAAAAAAATTTTTTGATCAATTCCTTTTAATATATTAATTTTTGTAAAAAGTGTTGATTTAAATAAATAGCATGAATATCTAAAGAATATCATAAAAAGATATAATAAATTCGAAAAAAATATTTTATAGCGTTTTTTAAATGTTTTTTAAACGTGCGGCTTAGAAATTTATACGATCATTCTTCTTAATAACGTAAATATTTATATAATATATACATGTTTGTCACAAATTATGTAATGTTTGCAACATTTTACTAAAAAAACTTGAAAATTCCGAAAAAATGTTCGTTGTATCATGAAAATACATAGAAAGCAAATACGACAATATTTATCATAGGGCCGAATAATGAACAAAGATATGCGTGGGAGAATATATCTAAAAACAATCTTGCGGTCAATGGTGTACAGATAAATATATTCCTTATTTCGCGGTTTACAGCGTGCGTGTTTTCATATTTATGAATGCAAGAGAGAGATTATAAAAGAGAGAGAGAGAGAGAGAGAGAGAGAGAGAGAGAGAGAGAGAGAGAGAGTAGTATGAATAAAACGATATTGTAGCTAATGGCAATCAGCCTGTTGCCATTAGAAAGAAAAGCACTGGAAATATATTCTGGCAATGATCTTTTAAATGTGTGTCAATATTTTTTACTCTTACTATCCTCCTCATTAAATAATAGTACATTGTATGACAAGTGCGAGAAGTTGGCTGTTGTAACGAGTGCAGAGTGGTCGCACGAGCCGAAGGCGTAGCCGCTCCTTTACTGTCTATATTGGTTATGACTTATTTGGAACAAAACTACGTATAATAAAAACATTGCACGAGTAACTAATTCATTTTTTAAATTGATTTTAAATTTCGTGCACTCTATTGTACGGAATAGTGAAACGCATGCGCAAGAAGTCACAGAGCATGAAAAAAACAAGTAGAAGAAAGCATATTCATAGCGCAACATCACAGCCTACATGTGGTCGGTATGACAGATTTCCTTTTTATTACCAGATTCGTTCGTTTCGTGCAAGACGCGTCGAATAATTGTATTTTTATCAAAATTTAAACTCAACAGGGTATTCTATACCTTTACTGTCTTATTCGCTGAATTTTAGAATTTTAGATAATAAATATGCGATGTTAATAACCAAGAAACAAATAACTGAGCAACAAAGATTGAAGAAGATGAGGTAAGTGCTCTTGCACGTCAGTATCGAAAATGGATAAATTACCTTCTTCATTTGGATTGAATTTTTTTTTAAGCAAGGAGCAAATGCAGCTAGCTATAATAAAAAAGAAACAGTGCGATGCGAAGGCTCTTGCGATAGTTATGCAACTTCTGGAACCGCATGTGAATCCTGACTGGCTCCTGCAGAATGTAACGTAAATGCTAATAAATATTACGTCTGATTTTTTGAAGAATTCTAAACAAGTTCTGAATTAGTACAGTAAGTTAGAATGAGAGAAACTGTACCTATCTCATTTTAACTTGTTGCATCAGTATACATCAGAACTTGAGATAGAAAGGCTTCTTATGTCAGTATTTAGATGGTTCAAGTATTCGAAACAACACAGGATCTCAATAATTTAGTATGATTTATTACTCTTGTAGCTGGGATTCATGAGTAAGAACCATATGGAAGATGTGATAGAGGAGAGAGTAATAGTAAAGCTATGTGGATATGTCCTCTGTTCAAATCAGCTGACTGTTGTTATCCGACAACAGTATCACATATCAACACGTAAGAATAAAGTGTATGACGTCAGCAAACGGAGAAACTTCTGCAGTTCGTGTGTTATGGGGCAACTAATTTTCTTCTTAAACAAATGCTTGAGAGTCCACTCTGGTTGAGAGAGAAAGAGGATATACCAGTCTTTCAAATTTTGCCTCTCAACTATAAGCCTACGTGTGCATGGAAAGGAAATCGACGTTGTTGGAATTAACTTCCCGCAAAATAAAGATGTAGAATTGTAGACAATGACAATAATAAAAAAATCTAACATATACACCGATAGACCAATCAATATGTCTTAGAAAGTTCTGTATTTGTTTCTGAAATATTTGATAAAGAGATCGATTGAATGATATCAATATTTTATTTTAAAATTTTTCTACTCTTAATTCTTAAATTTATAGAAATAATTATTGAAAAATCGCTCTTAATCATTTTCTATTGGATTACCTTGCGTATTATGATTGAAACTATGGTCTACAAAAGAATAGTTAAGCAAGACAGGACGCACGCTTCGCGATTCGAATAATACATTCGTATACGCGAATAAACAGTTTAATCGCTATAAGAATTTGTTGCATTTCCGTTTCTTCTAAATTTTGCAAAATAAGCGGTAAATACGAATTCTCGTTTTTGCTCAACGTTGTATTTCTATTTTTGCACGAATTGTCAGTGCAATTATATCGTGGCAAATCAATCTATAATAATCAACAATAATATTGATACCATAAGCTTCCTAATGCAAGAAATTTTCTCCTCTTTTTATTATAATGTTTTTTCACACGCTTTTGAACGCGTGTGTATTTTATTGACTCTAGTCTTTTCTGATCGTACCAAAAACTGCAGAGATATCTGCATAAATTATAGGAATTAAAAATTTATTGTTACACACTCAAATAAGATAATTTATCCAATTATTTGATACCAAAATGATACATATTTAGTAATATTTTTTGGCAATGTCTAGACTATATTTTTATTTACTGAAAGAATTTTGTTATTAAGTCCTAAGTCGAAATCCTTATTTAACTATTAAAACTTTTTGACTCACCGACGATGCGCAACGGGCGGAGTTATTCTGTCACGTAGTTATGATATTACTGTAACAAACATAAAATTTCAACTAAGGATATGCTTAAAAAGATTAACATTTCGAAAGATAATTTTTACGCAGACCTAACTAATTTTAGCTCCGAAGCCAAAATGCAAAACCATCAATGCAGATAAAATTTTGGAATCTATAAAGTATTGATACGCATCTGAGTGACGCTTATCAATACTATATAGTGTTCCTAAAATTTTACTCTAATTGAATTTGTTTGCGTCGATGGCTTTGCGTTTTGGCTTCAAATTGGACAGGCCTGACGTAAGCTTTTCTTACGGGGTTAAAAATTACACAAATAAAATCTACTGGTACAAAAAATATATATATACGTAGATATATAAAAGAAAAGCCAAGTATTTGTATAAATATTTATTTTATAGATTTACACAAAAAAAAATAATAAAAGTTTAGAAAAAATACCGCGTAAAAAATAACGCGTAAATTAATAAGGATGAATGTAGAATATAATTATTAATTTTATACAAAGAAAAAGTATAATACTCACCCCAAAATTTCTCCGCCGATGCTCGATGCCTCTCCGAGACCTCCTCCTCCTCTAAAAATTGGGGTATCATCCTCTCGCACAGGACACTCGCGAAAAACTCACGGATATAATGTATCTATAATCGCGCGCGGATTAATTACTAATAAAAATCTTTCGCGCGACACTGCGGCAAGCCACGTTTACAAAACGATGATCGTGAAAAGTCCATTAGTCCGATAACTTTAACGGCACTCCCGAAACAAACGCGCGACGCGACGAACCGGCTGCGGCTCGTTCATTTTGATTTAAATCTGCGACGAGAGTACATTGGTTTTCCTGTTATTGGATTTTTACACAGAGAAAACGACTTGGCTCAAGTTTCTAAAAATATAGCTGAATAAATAATTTAGACACAAATCCAAAAATTTTTTAAATTGAATATATATGTATAAAAAAGCCGTCCTTTGCGTTAATAATTATCTGATTAACTTAAATAAATATTCATTATTGCTACATGTATCAAAATGTAATCAATTAAAAAGTAAGGACGTTAAAGTTTAAACTGTACAAAATAATACATTGCTTTTTATTTCTGGCTTCCATCAAATGGAAAAGATCAAAAGAATTGCGAAAATAGCACAGAACAAAACCATAAAAAATAACATTACCCATCAGAAATATTCGTAGATATGACTATGTAGTTCATGTTCACATAAAGGCGCTTTTTCTCAGACGAAAGTAAATTAGTAGATGGAAGTTAACCTCCAATAACTTCTGCGGATTGCAACGAGTGTGCGAAACAGAAAAGTTATTTTGTAATATTTTAAGGTACTCAACTTTAATATCTGATTTATGCTTTGGTCTTAACTTTAAAATCTTAAATTTCAGCTAAAGCCCATTCTACAATCGCGTAAATATGGTTGTAAATTGCTGTATACAGTCGAACATTTCATCGTATTTGACTAGGATTGATTACTTCGTACAACTATATCCATTTACAACTACACTTACGCAATTGTAGAATGAGATTAATATAGATAGAATACAAATTTCGATTACAACCGACAATCTTATTCTGAATTTTAGGATTTTAGATTTAAGACCAGAAGCATAAATCCAGCTACGATGTCAACAACCAAGAAACAAATAACTGAGCAACAAAGATTGAAGAAGATGAGGTAAGTGTTCTTGCACGTCAGTATCGAGAATGGATAAATTACCTTCTTCATTTGGATTGAATTTTTTTTAAGCAAGGAGCAAATGCAGCTAGCTATAATAAAAAAGAAACAGTGCGATGCGAAGGCTCTTGCGATAGTTATGCAACTTCTGGAACCGCATGTGAATCCTGACTGGCTCCTGCAGAATGTAACGTAAATGCTAATAAATATTACGTCTGATTTTTTGAAGAATTCTAAACAAGTTCTGAATTAGTACAGTAAGTTAGAATGAGAGAAACTGTACCTATCTTATTTTAACTTGTTGCATCAGTATATCATACATCAGAACTTGAGATAGAAAAGCTTCTTATGTCAGTATTTAGATGGTTCAAGTATTTGAAACGACAGGATCTCAATAATTTATTATGATTTATTACTCTTGTAGCTGGGATTTATGAGTAAGAACCATATGGAAGATGTGATAGAGGAGAGAGTAATAGTAAAGCTATGTGGATATGTCCTCTGTTCAAATCAGCTGACTGTTGTTATCCGACAACAGTATCACATATCAACACGTAAGAATAAAGTGTATGATGTCAGCAAACGGAGAAACTTCTGCAGTTCGTTGTGTTATGGGGCAACTAATTTTCTTCTTGAACAAATGCTTGAGAGTCCACTCTGGTTGAGAGAGAAAGAGGATATACCAGTCTTTCAAATTTTGCCTCTCAACTCTAAGCCTACGTGTGGAGAGGAAATCGACGTTGCTGGAATTAACTTCCCAGAAAATAAAAATGTAGACAATAATGACGACAGTAAGAAATCTACAAAACATACCGATGGACCAATCGGTCAGACTGAAAAAGATACAAGTAATGTATCAAGTCTTGAAAAAGAAACTATATGCAATTCCTATTTATTGAAGAATGTAGCCACTGAGGAAGATGATGAATTAAAAGAGACTTCTGTAAATACTAACAATGTACAAAGATCATTCAACTACAAAATGCATTCATCAGAACTACATGTGAATCAAGAAAGCGAAATTGATTCTGAAGAATTTACAAATTATGAAAGTAACTATAATATTCAACAAGTAGATGTAAATCTAGAAAATTTAGAAATAGAAATTGCTGGTCAATCTGGAAATATTTTACATTTACATAAACACAATATAGAAAACAAAACTAATGTAGATATATTTGATAATAAAACGTTGCATCCTCAGATAGATGAAGTAAGTAACAATGAAAATGACACCAGTGAAAGGTTACAGCTTGAAATGCCTCAATCGGTTGAAATAAGTAACAACGAGAATGATGAACATGATAAGAGATTAGAACTTCAGATAGATGAAGTAAATAATAGTCTTACTGATAAAAAAATGATACAATCGGATAAAATACATAAGAGTAATAATACTGTGATTTCTTCTGCATCTATGTGTAATGAATATAGGAAAATAGGAGAGACAAGTAGAATTAATAAAAATCAAAGGTACAGACCGAAAAAAACTGATAATGCAGGAGTACAAAATAATATTTATCTCAAAGTTGCAGAACATGTTGAACAGAGTGTTAAAGAATGGGTTACGAAAAATACCCTTTGTCTTTTAATAGGCGATGCAGATGAAAGAAATCAATTATTAGAGCAATTTACGAAATATGACAGGTATCAACAGTTGTGTAAGAAGTTAAACAAGTTGCAAATGGAAGATGAAAAGGAAGATCATGATTTGAAGAAAAACGAGCTCAAACCTTTACCCCACTTCTCTGTACTCCAAGAGGATGGAAAGAAAATGGAATTAAAGGTATGATAAAAGATTTTAATTTGGTCGAAAACAAAATGTATCAACTAATTGTAATATGTGTACAGGTACGTGCCTTTTATGAAGGTCAAATGACAATTACATCACCTGAGGATAGTAACAAACAATCGGAAAATAAAGATAACGTTGAATCTATATTACCATTAACAGACGCTCACACGCCCAATGCACTTCGTCGCCGAATTTTCTTGGACAATCTTAACAAAATGTAATAATTTCTCCATTTCGAGCGATAATTAGAGATCGAATGTTAAAAAAGATTGGTATCTGAAATTCAATCGTTATATTTATCATATATATTAATCAAATATATTAATATATTTATTAATTACAGATTGCCAGATTTGATGCGCGCTTTGACAACCAATGTTAATATTTCTTCACTGGCACAATGTACTTACAATAACGAGAAATACTCATTAATCAAAATTTTGATAAGTACTTTTAATTTATCTGCTACAAACATTGTCTTTAAAACCGCTGAATGGACACTCGTGGGACTCATCATCATCAAAATGTAAGTTTAATTGCAATGTTTAATCTAAATATAAAATTGATTTTAAACATACTTATAAAAATAAATATAATTCCAGGTTGAGCTTGATTGATACACAATTGCAATTGTTACTCCAATCTAAGCAAGCATCAATGTACACGTCTATGATTTTGACCACATATAAACTAGATTCCAATTATTTAGATAGATTTCTAATGGAAATAACAAACAATGTAGAAGCATCTAAATCAAACGATAAACAATGCTAAATGAAAATTTAAATATAGTTTATATATATATATATATGTATATATATCAAAATTACTCTCTTATAATTTTAATTTTATTCTTATATTTAATTTCATATAAAATTAATTGTAAAAATATCGCAATGATATTTTATTTCAGTTATCTCTAAATGTTTCTTTTACAATAATGTTATACCTATTTTATAACTGCATTTTTATGTGTATATTTTATTAAAAAGTATTATAGTTTAAATAAAAGATTTCAAGAATTATTAATATATAATATAATTGAAGACAAGAAATTAAATTAGATATATAAAAATTTAATTAATTAAATTAGACGATATATATGTCAATAATAATAATAATAATACACATCACAGTATGATCACTCTTTCTTGTACTCGTAAACTGAGGAAGCTCAAATCACTCTTTATTGTTCTTGAATTATATATTATTAAAGTGTACTCGATGTTGATGGCGGTATTCCAGTAAACACAGAGGAAGAACAATCGAGACTTAACGGATCCATTTGAGCTGTTACTGCTAATTGGTCTTCTGTAGCATGATTACCAACTTTGTCACGTAGAGATTCGTAAAGACTATGGACTGCTTCGTTATGCTTTAAATTCAAAAATATTAAATCAATAATTTAAAAATTATTAATAATAATGAGACTTAAAAAATAAAAAAACATTAGAAACTAAATAGGCTACGAGTCTAAACTAGGATGTAAGATGCCCTTTAATATAAACAAAAAGTAAAATATAAAACTTACAAATGTTTCTGCTCTTATCGAGTCATCAGTGTAAACAATATTTAAACATAAGAACGGTTACATATCATGATTAGATTCTTTTGTACATAAAGTTAAAAATAAAAAAAGAAAAATAGAATTTTTTTTAAATTAGAATTTGCATATCTAATTATTTCAAAAATAGAAGTTTATCTTGTTATCTTTCTAAATCTATGTGTCACATCTAGTAATATTATTTCATATCCATTTTCAAAAGTGGATAGATGATAAAAGTTAAAAATATTATATATTTAATTAATTCATTTAATTATATAATGAAATTTTATTTATCATACCTTTTTTAAAAAATAAGTAGTACCCTCAATGTGTTTATGGTATTGGAGTTAAAGATTAAAAATCTCCATCATCACTCTACCAAGTTAGGGATCGTTATAATTTAGTGTGTATGTTATAAATAGATAAAGGATCTATATTTATTTAGAAGGGGAAAGAATTTGAAGTAGAAAAAGGGAAGGATACAGATGGAAAGATTTAGGAAGGGGATAAGATAGTACCGATAGATGTAACTCCGGAAGCGAGAGAGAGAGATTCTGTGTCATTCTGTATATTTAAACCACATTGTTGTATTTTTATATGTACCATCTGCGAAATCAATCTTTTATTATACGAAGATTTATTATCTAATATTTTGATTTCTTCCCAATTGAATTCATGATCATGATTTAAACGATGATTAGAAATAACTGATGGTAATCCTATCTTTTTTTAAAATTATTTTTATGTTCTAATATTCTAGTTTTTAATTGCCTTTTATGTTTGGTCTACATATGTCGCATCATAATCATGGCAAAATATCTTATACACTACCTACATCATGATGCGACATGTAATCCAAAACATCCCACGCGTAATGTATTTTTGTAAATTAAGAATAGCAATGCTATTTTTTTATTAATACCTCTCTCAATCTCGGAAAAAAGAATTCGGAGACGGTTTTCGCATAAGGTACTATAAAATATCAATCATTGGATTTAGTTAGATTTTTTGTTTTTAAGTGACTGCTGTTTGTAATAATGTGATAATTAATTCTATGTTATATTGTTGAAAATATAAAATTATGGGGATAACTATTTTTTAGTAAAATTTGAATCACTTCAAAATTGATGGAACATGGAATGTGATAAGAGAATGATTCTGTCTACTATACGATATATAACACCTTTCTTGTGGCAAATAGGATGATAAGAATGAAAATTAAAAAATCTGAAAAAGTTGGTTTTTTGCATCTGTCAAATGTAATGATATTATTTTGAATGATAATGATTAAATCTAAAAAAAAACGAAGTCTATTCCTATCACCAATCTCCATAGTAAACTGTAATCGTTCATTAAAAGAATTAAAAATATTCAAGATTTCAGCTAAATATTCTCCTGGTGTAGCTAACAAAACGTTGTCTACGTATCTAAAATAAAATTGTAGTTTTTATTTTTAACTTTATGTACAAAAGAATTTAATTCTGATATGTAACCGTTCTTATGTTTAAATATTGTTTACACTGATGATGACTCGATAAGGGTAAAAACGTTTGTAAGTTTTGTATTTTTTATTTATATTAAACAGCATCTTACATCCTAGCTTATAATGACAATGGAATCGATGTCGAATCAATGTCAATTCGACGTCAATTTGATGATTTCAACATCAAATCGACATCAATTCGACGTCGATTCCATTGTCATTTTTCACTGTATAGACTCGTAGCTTATTTAGTTTCCATTGTTTTTCAATAATTTAAGATTGGGATGTCGTGTAGCTCAGTGTAAAAGTGACAGACTTGTAACAAAGGGTCGCATTCTGTATATGCGGAAAAATTTTGTAATCGTAATCCAACAATTTCAAAGATTATTACATGTATAATAAAAACACAAAGTTCCTTTAAACTTAATTATTACATCTAATAAACATATAAGACTTTCTGAATATTGTAGAGCATTACCTGACTTGTTGGTTGTAAGGCTTTCAGTAATGAATGTAATCGCGTGGATGGCAATTTAGGATGTATGTACCAAAGTAATTTTAACAGATGTCGTGTGACGTTGTCCCTAGCTAAGCCGGCCAAGAAGAATTCGTCAAAAATTACTGTACAAAAAGACTCGTTTGAAAATTCGTCAGCCATGTTTAATATTAATAGCGAAACCTGCAATTAAAAATCAACAACTTTATAAATATAAAAATTTGTAATTGATATTTCATGCAATTGTGATAAATGACGACTTATGATAAATGTCGTATATTCTCGTATTTGATAATAAGATATAACATATATAATATATATTGTGTGCGTGTGTGTTAAATATATTACCAGCGTGTGTAGAAATGGATCTTCAAAAGCCCGTTGCGCTTGACAGTTTGGTAATGTTGCTAAAACTCTCATTAAACCTCTTGCATCTCCTCTACCCCTTCCAACCCCACCGCCACCTCCGACATGTAATGCATAATACATGGAGAGAACTGCTGCTACTCCAGAAAGCTGAGCGTATGCTTGACACGCATCAGGAGGTGGTCCAGAATGTTCTATAATTGCGATTGCACTTTCTCTTTCATCAGGTGGAAGTCTACAGTTGAGTTGCCTTATTTGATCATCAACCTAATAAGAAATCGTCATTATTTTTATCTGTATTTTTAAATTGTAATCTATATATAAATATTTTGATTATTGTGTATAATTTACCATGAGTGACATAAGTGCTGGCAGGAACTTTGTGACAACTTGGCTGTCCAGTTTTGGTTCTTTAAACTCTTGCGAATCAATCATTTGCCAAGCAGACAGTCCTAACGCGAGCATTCTTAACAACAATACGAGCACTGCATTTTCTCTGGGTAACGCCTCGCAATTTATCAAATGAAGCGCTATTTTAATTGCACTGCTAGCGAGAAAATTTACTGCATAGGGATCACACAAAATCATACTTAGATCCCCTAACACCTGCTCCTGTCCTCTCTATATAAAACTACAGGTCATATCTCTTTCTTTTTACAAATGATGTTATAAAACATGATTTTGATTCAATTTACCTTAATACTGTCCAAGAAGCCTTGCAGTTCACGAGACCTTTTAACATCCACATTCTTTTCTCTGATGCATGCATCCAGGCACCAGGTAAACTTATGACATGGATCTACAGAAATGATATCTTGCACCTGGCAGCAAATAACATATTCAATAAAACTGAAGCGATGCAAATTAAATTATACATATATCAAGTTATCCTAAGATATAGCTCCATGTAGAGGTAATGAACTATAATTGACAAGTCTTTGATTCAATCATTCCTACATAAAGAATTTAATCTTCAAACAATAACAATAAAAAGAAACAAGCTTCTAGAGTAAAAGCTGGATAAGAGATTTACAATTGTTTTAAAAAAAAAATATAATTGTAATGCAATTTGAAAATTGTGATGCACCTAGAGCTGTGATGCAATGAAATAAACAAACATGTTGAATATGTTTACCTCTAAATCATGTAACGCCATTAACAATTCTGCTCTGAGAGTACAATAGTGGATATTTTTTGTGCGTAGAAACAAAGTCCTTAAAAACTGCAGTACCATATCATACAATTTTACACTATGTCCAATCATGTGGGCTAACTTCTGTACAACTTCGCCTTGTCTTCTCACCTATGCAAAGTAAGAGAATTATATAATGTAAATTGTGCATTCAAATGTGATTTGTGAATTCAAATACAAGCAAATATAATATACCTTCGGAGATGGCAAAAAAAATAGACTATTCAAGTTGCGATGATCAAACAGAATCTGTTCTTTCTCGATGATATAACGACTGAACAACGGCGAGACTTCATCGCCGAAAAGACTTTGATTATCCTTCCATATCTGACGTTTTACTTCTGTATCGGCATCATTGTACAATTCTCTTTCCCTAACTAACACTCGCAAGTATTTGTCATCAATGTGTAAGGTATTCTTTAGGATACACATAACGACAGGTCGCAGAGCATTGACTCTGACAGCAGGGAAACTTTTCGATAATAATTCCTTCATTCTTTTGTCTCCAGAGACACCTTTATCTGCCCTTTCTACGCCGATCTCATCAATTTGTTTGATCAGTTTCTCCCGCAGCTCCTCGAGAACGGAGGCATGGAAATCTAACCTTCTGACTCCGTGCAGATCAAGCAGAGGTAACATAGGCCGTAATGACGGTAGTAATATGCCATTTTCCAGCTGAAATGGAACATTA